ATTTCAGATCTTTTCCAGCCTTAATTCCACAACCTCACCTCGAGCACGGGGTCCCCTGGGACCTGCAGGAAGCTCCAACCTCGCTGGGCAGCAGAAGGGAAGGACCTGAAAAGCCACCAGGTCCCAGAGAGTGACCCCAGGGAGGAGGAGGAGGAGCAGCCAGCGAAGAGCAGGGGCTCTGTGGGAGCCCTGAGTCACCAAGGTTTGATGACACACACGGGTTTGATTCTCTCTCTGCTTCCTTGGTAACAGCTTTGCTCAAAGCCCCCAAAGTGCTGCCACGTCACACTAAAATCCTTCATTTAAAGAAAAAAAAAGAAAAAAAAGCCCCAGAGCAAGGCCAGACTCGGTGGTGATTCACAGTGATGCTGCTCCAGAGGCTCCCTGAGGGTGCACTTGGCATCCAGGGAGCACAGGGAGTTCCCGGTGGAGTGAATGACTCTGATCAGATGCAGATCCCAAAAATCACGGTGCTTCCCGGGAAAATACCCACCCCAAAGGGCCTGGAGTGGATCACAGCCAGCTCCTGTTTTACTGGAGGTTATTTAATACCCCTTGCTGTCTCTCTCCCACTTCCTCTCTCCAGCAATTTTTTCCCCCAAACCTGCAGGAACAAAGAACTCAGGCACTCATTTGCCACAACATTCCCTCACTGCTCCTCTGAGACCAAACTGGGACCAGGGCACAGGAGCTGGGGGATTTCCCTTCTGTTTGATGCTAAAAAATGTGATTTTCTTTCTAAATCAGTTCCATCTACCTGCTCCAGCCTCACTCAGGTGTCCCATTCCCAGCACTTCACATTACTCCCAATAACAGCAACAAGATCAACTTCCACAAAAACCACAAATCCTCTCCTGCTCTGTTCCTTTCCTGTGTTCCTGCAGCTGGATCCTGGTCACAGACTTCTTGTAGCACAGGTAATTCTTTCACAAGTTTTATTTGTCTCAATTCCAGAAGAGGGACTTGCAGCAAAAACAGAGATCAGAGCCCTTTCCCTGCCCATCAGCCAGACCTCACCCAATGCTGCAAACTCCTCTATAACCCATCAGGCTCTGCTGTTTAAAGGCAGCTCTGGGATACAGATTTCTTGCTTGCTTTTCACCAGCTTTTCACCAGGAGTCACATTAGAAGATATTCAAGCTGACTTTGACCTTTTGAAAGCAGGCCAAGTGTTAATAATATTAAAACTGAGAAGGGGGAAAAAAAATTCTCACTACCTGACATAGAAAACAGGAGAGAGATCCAGCGAATTCTCATGTCTGGCAAAAGTGTTTCATCTATTAATGGACTTTCATCTCCTTGCTCTCACTACATTTCACCCACTGAACTCTTTGCAGATCAGATCCCTCCACCATGATCAAACTTGTGAATAACATGGCAAGGAGCTGAAGGAACTTGTGAATTTCTTGCTCTCGGTTTTTATGGAATAGTGGACTCCAGCACGTGCCAAGTCCCTCCCAGCCCTGCTATTTCTGTATCAGCAACAGATGAACACGAGGAAGAATCTGCTTAGCTTGCAGTTTACTGGGGAATTAGATCCACTTCCTGCAGCTCCAGCCTCCCAAATGAGCACAGGCAGTTGGATCTTAATTTGGGATCACTGGGACAGCTGCACTGCCCTGTCCACCCACAGGATTTGCTGAGGAAGGAAGGATGGTTTTCCTGGGCAGAAAATACCTGGTTTCATATGATACAGGCAGGAAAAACTCACCTCCAGGTGTTCCCCAAGCTGGAAATGGCTCCAAGGTCAGCTTGGATGGGGCTTGGAGCAGCCTGGCCTAGTGGAAGGTGTCCCTGCCCATGGCAAGGGTGTGGGATGAGATGATCTGGAAGGTCCCTTCCCACCCAAACCAAGCTGGGATTCCATGGAATGCCTCTGCTCAACCAGCACAGCAGCCCAGGGGTGAAGGGATGTGAGGGATCCAATACAGGGAGGAGACATCAACCTCAGCAATGACACTGGGACACTTCCAAACAGCTCCCCAAGAAGTGTCCCCACCCCAAAGGTGTCCCCAACATTCTTAAGAAAATATAAAATCTTGCAATAAACACACCACTGCTGGCTGATCTGCCTTAAATCCTGCCCTGACCATGGCACAAGCACTCTTGGCTGTCAGCAGAAGGTGGCTCAAAAGTTTTTGGGCATAAGATCTCTGACAAACTGGGGCTTTAGGGTTCTTTTCTCTCCAAACCAGCCCATTTTCACCAGTGTCACTGCAGTTTCCCATGCAGGGGGTGAAGGGTTAACCTCGGGGGGGCTCCTGCAGCCTGAAACTCAAGGTGCTCCCTCCAGCACTTCCCAGCAGTTACTGGCTTGAGAGAGAATCAAACTAATTACCTTAGTAATTACCAAACTAATTACCTCTCTAATTACCCAGTGTCTTTGTTCACATGGAGCTGACATTCTTGCAGAGGAGCCCTGGCTCCGTGCCCCACGTTCTCCTGGAATTTTGCTGCTCCTCTCAAGGACCTGAACACCCAGGTCCCCCTCCCACCACGGCCAAGCTCAGGTCCTGTCCCTCTTCCCCAGGGAGGGGCAGATGCTGCTGCAGTTCCTTGGCTGCTGAACACTGAGGATCAAACCAGAGATGCTCCCAGGCCCTGTTTGACACTTCTGAGAGCAGCCAGGGAGGTGACAGAGGTGACAGAGCCCACACAGAGCTGAAAGCAGCAGGGTGTTCACCAGCAGAACCCACCAGCAGCATCCCAGCCACCGTGCCTCACCTCGCCAGGCTTCACTGCCTTGCCAGACTCCCCCTGAATCCTGCCCTGGGCTCTGGGGGTCACTCACTGCTGTCCTGAGCTCTGCTGTGACAGTGCCAACAGCCCCCAGCTCCTCAGGGAGTCACTGCTGGAAAGCAGGAGCGTGAGTGGTGTCACTGATGCTGGCCATGACCCCCGGAGGGTTTTGTGGGAAGAGCTGGGAGAGGCTGAGCACAGGAAGGGCTCTCCTGGCTGCAGGACCTCACCCTCTTCTGCTCTCTCCTCCCACATCCTCTCTTGTGTCTTCAGCCAGCGCCCAGAAGTGTCAGCTCAACACAAACCATCACAAATTAGGGACTGGGCAGGTCACAAAATCCACACCTGCAGCTGTTTGCACCCAAATCGAAATCCTTGTCTACTTTTATCTGGAACAGGACTGACCATGGACAGTGTGCTGTCACCTGGCACAGGACAAATGATGATTTCTGGGTCCTGAAAATCACATTTGACACCCTGGACAAAATTCCTGGCACTTCTCCACTCTCTCTGTCCCTGCTGCTTGTGAGGGAGGCTGGCCTTGCTCTGTCCCAGCAGTTCCTGCTGTCACCAACAGCTGGTGTTGGTTTGGGATCTGCAGGTGCTGAAAAAGGTCACAGAATCATTAAATCATGATTAGGATGGAAACTTCTCCATAGGTTTTGTATACTTAAAAAAAAACCCAGGAAAGGGGGTTTCCAAGATTTTAAGATTTCAGCGCCCACACCAGCAAGTGGGGAGAAGGAAGAAATCAAAGACCTACAGCAGGACAGGGATGCAGGCACACAAATGCAGAGGTGGCAGAAGCAGAGGGGGTTGGTGAAACACCAGAATTATCCAGAATTCCTGCTCTGCTTTAAAAGGAAAGGTTTTCCACACCAGGGACAGTTCTGAAGTCACTTTTCAAGTCCTTACCCTGCTGCTGCCACCAGCCTCCCCCAAGCCCAAGCCACACAGGCTGCAGATGCCACCCCTGATGCCACAGAAGATGTTTAAAGAACACAACACCTCAAACACAGTTGGAACAAAGCAGGCAAGGCTGACTCTCATTGCTCAAGGCTGTCAGGATGAGAAACCAATAAACATTTGGCAGTAACAGAGACCTTCCTTCCCGACACAGCTCTTCCCCTGATTTTACAGCATCATCTGGCCTGAAAAACGTCTGCTTTTCCTCTATGCTGTGTTTCGCTGCCAATTCTGAGTCTGGCAAGGCTGGCTCTGCCAACTCCTTGGCTCTCAGTTACAAAAGAGAACATTAGAGAGAAGGATTTGTGAGTTAGCTGATTTGTAAACACTGCAGCAAGTCACCGTGTAAACACGGTGCTTATGTCCCTGTTGTTTCTCCCGAGCAGTTTACCTGGCACCTGATGTTGAACTCCAGGATCCTCCCCTCCCACCAACATTACAGTTGCTTGGCATGTAAAAAAAAAAAAAAAAAAAAAATCCCAGCTTCTCTGGGTAACATTAAAAAAAAATTCCTTAATTAAACAGTGCTCACAAAGCATCTTGGTAATTAGGAAAGTCACTGGTAATATTGTGGATGAATAATAAATGAGATCCACAGGTGCACCCGCAGTTGTTCAGTAGGATGAGGTTCAAACACAGCCAATTAGAGAGGGAGAACAGGTAAATAAACAGCAGAAGGCTCCAGACTCGCTGCTCATTTGACATCATTACTTTCACTATTGTGTAAAAAGTCCCTTCTAAGATTGCTTGGGACAAGGAGGGTGGCACTTTTTACCTGAAGAAAAAGAATTAAAGGAAACTGGGTGCTTGCACAAAGCTGGTTTTGGGATTTTTGGTGGGTTTTTGCTCTTTCACAGAATCCCAGAATGGTTTGGGGGGGGGAAGGGGCCTTAAGACCGTGTCATTCCAACCCCCTCCCATGGGCAGGGACTCCCTCCACCATCCCAGGCTGCTCCAAGCCCCTTCCAACCTGACCTGGGACACTCCCAGAGATGGAGAACCCACAACCTCTTCAGGCAACAAGGGCTTGTGGAGCTCCATTCACAAGCATTTCCCAAGGAGGGAAGTGGTGCTGGAATAAATCACAACACTCCCATCACGTGGGATCCTTTTAGGTGGCTGTGATGGAAAACAGCTCAATCCAAACCCCGTTCCTGACACCAGGGCTGCTTGTGCAGCAAAGTCTGTGCTTGAAAGCTTCAGCAACAACATCTGCTGGGAAAGCATGATTGACACAGCAGAGGGAACACCATCCACCCCCGAGGAGTGGGAAGGGAGACAGACTGCAGCATCAATCTTGTGCATAAAATAAGATTTATTGTTGGTACAGAGCGAGGCATTCTCGTCAGGACTTGATACGAGCGAGGAGCACAACAGAACCATCCCATGGAAATAAAGGCCATGGAGCACCCAAAGTGCTGGATCACAAACATCATTCCAGCAGAAGGCCTGCAGAGAGACACTTCATCAAGCCAGGTCATTTGGGAAATAAGTTAAAGCACAATTTACCATTCTACAGTGTGAGGAGAACTCTGGCACCGGGACCAGCGGCTGCTCCCGAGGAACAGCCACATCCTGGCACTGCAAGGGTTAAACTCCCCTGCCTCTGCCAGAGAGGAGCTACAGAGGAGATTCTACAGTGAAACAGCAGCATTTGAAGGATATTTCCCCTCTCTGAGGCCAGAGAAAGGTTCTTTTCTTTCCCTTCCTTCAATCAGCAGTTAGTGGGCTCTGAGAATGCAGAACATCAGCCTGGGACGGGCGAGCTGGATGGAAAAAGATCCAGGACTCTGATTGAGGATGCTGCCCTTCAAATGGCTCTTCCACTTCTCTTTATTGGGCTGCCCTGCAAATGGGCTGCCAGATCGTTGTTGGGGAGAAAAAAAAACAACTCTTCTGCTGAAATTAGTTGATGGTCTTGTGCTTGATTTGGACAATGCCTTTATCCTCCTCTCCCAAGCATTCTCTGCTGCAAAAACGATCAGAGGGGAGGGAAGAGAGAGGGACAAACACATATTTTAGTAACTCCAAGTTATCCCAGACAGCCCCTACAGTTTGGCTACAACTCCTTCCTATGATCTGCAAGTTTTTAAAATAAGAATACAGAAGAAGACACATTGTTGATAAACACATCATGGCAGAGACAAGTCACAGAAGCAGAATGAAACAACAAGGCATTGGTTTGGAGGCCTGAAGAGTCTCATTAATGATCCATTTTCATCTCCCTTCATGCTATCATGGCTTTAGTACTGTGGCTATTAAAGGAAATTAAAACACCTGACCTTACAATAAGAAAAATCTCACTCCCAGCAATTAAATTATTGAGGGAAAATATCCTGAAAACCTCCAACACAGAGCATCCCTCACCTGGCTCCTTCCTGGGCTCTGAGTCAGAATCAAAACCCCAACAGCCTGAACATGTTGTACTCATCTTGGGCTTCGTGATCATGGAATGGTTTGGGTTGGAAAGGACCCTAAAAATCATTTCATTCTTGTCACTAAACCAGGTTTCCTGTCCCTGGAAATGTTCCAAGCCAGTTTGGACAGGGCTTGGAGCAAGCTGGGATAGTGGGAGCTGTCCCTGCCCATGGCAGAGATGATCTTTAAGGCCCCTTCCAACCCAAATTTTCTTGCCTACAAAACCCATCAAATGAATAAGCAGTAATTGTGAGTCTCCTTGCAAAAAAAATGGCAGGAAGGGATTTGATAATTCTGAGGCTTTATGTCAGGAACAAACCCAAATTTAAACCTTGAAATCTTACAGGTGACCTCCAAACAGCTGATTCAGGTGTCTGAGCAACATTACACAGCTTGGAAATCTGGACTGCACTGTCAGAGTCATGGAAATTAGGGATAATTAACAATAAAGGGAATTTCAACCACGTCAGGTTTGGCTTCAACCAAATTCTCATATTATTCCAAAAAAATAACCTGGCAAACTGTGCTATTCCACCCAGTTCCTGCAAGGGTTAAGAGCTGCACTTAGATTGGATTTTGGGGAAAAAAAATGTCTTTCCCAAAAGGATTGTCCAGCCTGGCACAGCTGCCCAGGGGGCAGGGGTGGAGTCCCCATTCCTGGAGGGATTGAAAAGTCCTTTAAAGTGTGGAAGTGGCACTTGGGGACATGGTCAGTGGTGGCCTGGGCAGTGCTGGGAATGCTTGGACTCCAAGATCCTGGAGGTATTTTCCAACCTTAACAATTCTGACTTTAAACTTCTCCAAGGCATCCACACAAACAGGTCCCTGTGCCCACAAAAGCCTCCAGAATCCACAGAGGAGAAGAAGAGGCTGATGGAATTTATAAAAGGAGTCAGTTTTGTGCTCCTTGGGTGCACTTACAAACAAAAATCTGGACAAGTTTCATCTGTTACCAAAACCTCCAATCCATGGCAGCCCCATGGAGATTTCTGGAAAGCTCAGGAAGGCTCCTCTACCTGGAAAATTCTTTTTTGCTGAGGAATTCCAGACTCACTCCAAGCCATCTCTGGGCTGAATATTAATATTATGTTGATTTAACACTGCATAGGTTAAGACAGGAAATTCCCAAGGGATCTGAGAAAAAAAAATGGGCTACTTTTGTTTAGTTTCCTAAGGAAAGAAATTGCAGATATTTGTTCATCATATCCATATTTCTGCCCACAAAATTTCACCTTCAGACAAATGGGGGTGTTCCAAGCCTTGCTTTGGTTTTATCTACATTTTGGGGTTTTTTAGTGTTTCTTCTAGTGAATGCATTTAAAATATTTTCCTTTCTATTTATTTTTTTTTACATAACCCCATGGAGGGAAGCTGGTCCATAATAAACTTCCTTCAATGAGGGCAGTATTAAATGATGAGGTCTTTTTGTTGCATTTCAATTCAGTGTTTCCAGATACACAAATTCCATGTATTTTTCACTTTGGAAATTGGTATCAAGTAAAAAATACTGGAGGATGAGGCTAAAATCCTGGTTTTATTCTATTTAGGATGCATAATTAAGGACCCACTTGATCCAACAAATAAAAATAGTGGTTACAAGGCTGAAGGATAACATTTTGCAGCCAGGCACTAGCAGCTGCTGGTATTGTTATTTTAAGTATTCTTAAACCTCACCTGCCTGAAGAGACCTGAATCCTTCTGGAATTCAATGCCTTAACAGGAAATTATTGCACAGATTTGTAAAACCACGGACTAGTTGTGTTTTTATGTAAGAATCAGAATTTCTTGTAGGCCAGGGTGGGGGAAAAATCGAGGAAAAAAAACCCCAAATGTATATTTTAACAGCTATTGTCCATCTCCATGGCTGGAAAACCAGGAAAAAGGATTAAAAAGCCACGGATGCTCTGGCTGGAGTTATTGCAGCAGTGGCAGCACAAATACATGCCACACACAATCCAAATATCTTCCCCTTAATGGCTCCATTAGGTTAAGTTTTCCTCTCCATTACTGGCATTATCATTATAATAACATGCAAACATTAATAACAGAGTTTAATTTATCTCCCCAGCTTCTCATGACTTTGGGAAGAGATTTCAAGGGAAGATACAAGGATGTGTCAAACCCCTCTGAATTAACAACTCTCAGGGCTTTTCTAAGGAGGGGAGAAAAGGACAGATAGAGACATGAGATTACAGACAGCATGAGAAATAAGGAGCACACAGAAGAGAGGGGGAGATAATTATAAGCAAGATAGGAAAGAAAGAGGAGTCAATAAATTCAATTTATGAAAAGCACAGAGTGTGCTCAGCCCGAGCACAAGTGCCCAGACTCACCGCCAGGAAATCGGATTAGTTCACTTATTTGCTTTTCAATATCTTGCTCTATTCCCTCTAGCAAATTTTCTTCTTCCTTTGTTTCTTGTAGCCAGTGTCAGTTAACTTTTTCATTTCTGAATCTGCCATTTATCCCCCCTCCTCTGGCTCCCAACCAAGCTCACAGAGAAGGTAATTTTGAAGTGATTTTATAGCAGTGTTTAGGAATTATTTCCAAATAACTGTCTGGACTTGTGGGCAAACAGTGAGTAAAAATAATTACAATTACAGCTGCAGCATGTGGAGGATGGGCTGGTGTTGATTATGAAAAACAATTGCTCCTGCTTGCAAATATTTCCATCATAAAAGGCTTCTCCTTCTCTGTTATCATGAGAGAAACCTCTCAGAATTCTCATCTTGAAGCATGTGTGAAACAGAAAAAGAAACATTTAGGAAACACTTTTAACTACTTGACAGGCTTGGATGAAGATCTTCAACAAAAAAAAAAAGGTGTTTAAAAGGGTTCAAAAACCTAATGCTCATATTTATGCAATTTGCTTTTCCTGCACCTTCTGAACATGAATTAATTCATCCTCATCAGAGTCTTCTGAAGAAATTCCTATCAGATACAAACTCGAGTTAGAGCTTTTAAACATGTCTAAGTAATTAATCCATTTTTTTTCTGGGTCCTTTAAAAAATAATAAAAAATTATACATACAGTAAATTAGTGCTGCAGATGCTGCAGGGCCATGGGGAAATCCACTACAGAACAAACCAAAACAGGGTAACAAATGACAGAACAAGAGCAAATGACCTCAAGTTGCACCAGGGGAGGTTTAGGTTGGATATCGTGGAAAATTTCTTCACTCAAAGGCTTGTCCAGCCAGGGCAGGGGTGGAGTCCCCATTCCTGTGTGGATGTGGCATTTGGGGACAGGGTCAGTGGTGGCCTTGGCTGAACTGGGGAACAGCAGGACTGGGTGGTCTTAAGAATCTTCATGAGTCTGTGATTCTCATGTTATGGACTGGACTTCTCCTAAAAAAGGAGATTGGAGCATTGTGAAACGGGCAGGAGGAGAAATCACAGAATCACAGAAAGGTTTGGGTGGGAAGGGACCTTAAAGCCCATCCAGTGCCATGGGCAGGGACATCTCCCACTGTCCCAGCTGCTCCCAGCCCTGCCCAGCCTGGCCTTGGACACTTCCAGGGCTGGAACAACAAATATCAATAAAAGATTTATTAAAGGAAGTGAATTTGAAGGGACAGGGAGCTCTCAGGGACCGAGGAACAACGAGCAGTGTTAATTCCAGCAGATCTTTGGGAACATCAGCTCGAGGCTGCAGCATTTTAAAACAAAAGGTCACGAAGAAAGAACAGAGCCAAAGTCTCAGGGATTTTCTGCCCAGGCAGAGTCAAACCCAGGGAAGGTGATTACCATGATCAAACACCAGCCCTGCTCTCCAGGTCTCCACTATCACATAAAGATGGGTTGTCCTCACATGCTCAAATATTAACTCACAGATTTGGGCAGAAATAAAGATCAACAGACTGATTTAAGCACTTTTTACACATCCTGCACGTGGGCTGTGAGCACAGTTCTTGGTTTGTTTAAGAACACAGTTGAGGTCAATATATGCATTTCTGAATTTGAAAGAGGCAAGCTGATGAAAAAGAGTAAAACTGAGAAATTGTAGCTTCTTTTAATTTAATGATTTACATGTTACTGTCGTTTTCCTTCATGTTGTACTAATAAAGCATAAAGATTTTAATTGGCAGTGACATCCATACCCTACAAAACTGGAAGAGAGGAAGGCAAGAGCAGATAAGGGACAGTTTTAGAGCCTTGCATAACACAAGACAGAAGAAATGAAGAATTCCAAGTGGTGACCAATATAATTTGAGATATCCATCAGTTTATCATATTTATGGCAGAGATACCAGGTATTTTAATCCCTTTGTTTTACTGCTAAAACTGTAGATAACAGAAAACATCTGCCAACAGCAAGAGCTCCTACACTAAACAACAACTTCCCAGGGGAAGAGATGGAAACCTGAGCATTTAAATCAACCCTGAGTGGTCTCCACAGAGCTCTGGGAACACAATGGGAAATGCTTAGACATGGAGGAAGGACTGATTGGAAATTCCCCTGCTCATCATTCCTTAATTTTTCAGTGAGAACAGCTCCAGAACGTCACCTGTTTGGCATGATTGACACAGTGCAGGTACTGGCTGGCCAGGGCAGAGCAGCTCAGGGTCTCCTGGGCATGTTCCCGGTAGCACTGGAGGATTTTATCCTGCAGCTCCCCACAGATGGGGTGGGATTCATATCTCCTGTGGGAACAGAGAACAAGCTTCAGGGTTTCCTTCTAAAAAACATCTCAGGAAAGACAAAAATCTTATATTATATTATTATTATTATTGAATTGGTTTGGGTTGGAAGAGAGTTTAAAGCCCATCCAGTTCCACCTCCTTCCACAATTTCTACTATCCCAGCCCTGTAGAAATTTCTACTGCTCCAAGCCCTGTCCAACCTGGCCTTGGACATTCCAGAGGAAAGAATTCTTCCCTGTGAGGGTGGTGAGTCCCTGGCACTGTTTGCCCAGGGCTGCCCCATCCCTGGAAGTGTCCAGGGCTGGGTTGGGCAGGGCTTGGAGCACCCTGGGATAGTGGAAGTGTCCCTGCCCATGGAAATGGGGTTGGAACTGGGTGATTCTTGAGATCCCTTCCAACCCAACCCACTCTGTAATTCTGATTCTCATTTTGCTGATTGGCCAAGGCAGATCTATTTTCTTCCAGCAGGGAAATGACACACGAAGCACAAACCCTGCTCCTCCAGGGACTTGATTTCTTGATAATCACTGAAGGTGTCGTGCTAAAAAAAGGAAATGTTAAGTCACCTTGATTTTACAGTATGTACCTATATAAAACATCTCTTTCTGCTTTCATTCATTACCCTGCATCTGTGAAATCTAAACCAGAATTTAAATGCAGTCCCAGGTGTTTTCACACTTTATGATCTCCAAGTTCAAACTTCTGCACTCTTCTGGAAGAGGATTTTCCCTTAATCCCCCCTGTGCTGAGATCAGCACGTGCTTCAAAGGCGTGCCAGGCATCAAAATGTGCAACCACAAACTGCTGCACATGGAGGGAGGATGGCAAGGTCTGCACTGGGACAGGGAACATCAGAAATAGCAGAGAGATTCTCTGGAGACATCTCCCAGCAGGGAGGATTTAGGTCCAGCTAAACCTGAGCTCGATTAAAATGCCCAAACCCCTGGTGTGAATTAATAAAGCAATACAAGAGAGCCTGAATTAATAAAAAATACCCACAGAAAATCTTGCTGTGTCTTTATTCACAAGTGATTTTAAAGTGACTTCTTATATACAGGTGAAGAGAGAAAGGAATGGGCTGCTTCAGCATCACTGCATAAATTCTGTCAATGTATTTACAGCCCTTTCAATGGGGGGACTCTCTAACCCATGATAATGAGCTTTTGAATTGGAGGTTTTTTCCCCAGAGCCATGCCATCAGTGACTAAAATCCAGCTTTTATTCCTTATTTCAATGTTCTGAGGGACTCTATACATTGCCAACCATATGGGAGCCCTGTGAGACACATCATCTCCTGCCCCTCAGTGATTTGTTTTCACACTCTGACTTTGCAGGGGGGAGTTTTGAAAACTTTCCAGGCACTGCAGGGCAATGAGAACAAAGCCACTTCCTTCAAGTCAACCAAGTCCATTTCTTGGATTAATCTGAAGGTGAGCACTGTCTCTGTATTGATCAGCTGTGCTTGTTCCATTCCCCTAATGCTCTGTTGGCACCTTTGGGAAAGCAATAAATGAAAATTCCTGCCTGGCATTAGAGGGCCATAGAGCACGGGCTGCAGGATCTCCTGTTGGGAAAGGAGGTCCCATTGTCCTTTATGGGAACCCCTCTGAAGGGTTTCCCATTGATTTCTGGCAGGGATGGATCACAGGACTCAGATGGATGGGCAGAAACAACAGCAAGGAAACTCCTCCAAAGGGGAATGAAACATCTCAACAGAGAACTTCCTGAAATGGATATGATTACATCAATTAATAATAATTAAATGGGATCTTGGGAAGGAATTCCTGACTGGGATGGAATTCCCAGAGCAGCTGTGGCTGCCCCTGGATCCCTGGGATGTCCAAGGCCAGGTTGGACATTGGGGTTTGGAGCACCCTGGGATAATGGAAGGTGTCCCTGCCATGGCAGGGTTGGATCTGAATGTCCTTTAAGGTCCTTCCAACCCAAACCATTCTGTGGTTCCACGAATAAAGGTCATTTTGCAGAAGCATTTAAGGGTCTGTGGGGTATGACTGAGGGAAAAGCTCATAAGTAAAGGTAAATAAAGGTAAAATTTTAAAATTTTTAAAAACTTTAAAAATTTGCCCTTTTAAAAAAAGGTGAATTGCAAACCCAGCAATTACGTGGAATCTATTGGGAAATGTGGATGTTTTAAATGCCTGAGTGGATAAAACAAGCTGGTCTGGTCCCAGGCAGGGCCAGGAGATCCTCAGAGCAGGAGGTCCCTTTCCTCAACTATCCCATGTCCTGAGAGAGATCTGTATTTTGGGACATGTGACAGGAAAAGTGTCACCAGAGTATCATGGAATGGTTTGGGTTGCTAAAAACCCACCCAGTGCCACCCCTGCCTTGGGCAGGGACACTTCCACTGTCCCAGGGTGCTCCAAACCCCAATCCAACCCTGGACACTTCCAGGGATTCAGCCACAGCTTCTCTGGGAATTCCATTCCAGTCCCTCCCCACCCTCCCAGCCAGGAACTCCTTTCCAATATCCCATCTAAATCCCATTTAAATCCCCCCTCTTTGAGTTGAAACCTCTTGCCCCTCGTCCTATCACTATCTGTCCCTGTAAAGTAAAGGAGATTGTGTCCTACATCAAATTTATTTAATTGCTCAGGGATTTCCCAACTAAACTGAAGGAAAACCACAAACCATGGGAGTGCAGCAGGAATGGCAGGGAATGCTGACAGATCTCCAGCTCCACTCAGAGCAACTCCAGAACTTCACAGAACCAACACACCCAAAATCTGCAATGCTTTTCTCAGCACAGTCAAATATGAGCAGCAGCACATGGCACACGAGGAACAGAGTGTTTTTATTAAGTTTGCAATTCCTTGATCTGCTTTCCTTTCTCCAGCTGCTCCTGAAGCACCTCCCATGCCAGAATAATCTTTCAGTGCTGGAATAAACCTGTGAAGGAGCTGTGCACCCACCTTTTCCAGCGAGCTGATGCATCACAACCTCATAAAGGTAATAGGATGAAAACACAAAAGGAAACGGGAGAGAGAGCCTTAAAAAGAAATATTCGATGCTAAAGCATGAAAAGAAAATTTAATGAAGGGAACTTTGTAGTCATCTGGGCTCTCTCAAAGAGCATAGCTTATTGTGCTCCTGGGGGCTTGGGGAGAGGAGCCCCTTCATGGCATTCAAACAAAATGTCTACTAAAGAGGAAATTTGAAATCACCACGGTGAGCTTTGCGAGCTTCGTGCTAAAACTGACACTCTCACTGAAGGAATCTGAATGGCTGATGAGTTTCCAGCTGTGCAGGTATCTGGAATAATCCCCTCCCAGATCAGGACTTCAGGCAATTGTCATAAAATATGGGGAAAAAAGTAGCAAGAAAAAAGCAGAGTGTGAGGTAAAAATAGTGCCATGAGATGGGCAGGAGTACCCAGGGTTTAATTTAATTCCTCATTAAAGTGCTGACACCTTTCAAAGGCAGCTGATTTTATTTGTGTAACCCTTGGCTACTTGTGAAGTACTGAATAAAACAGAGCAGAGTGATCCTCTGTGTCCAAGCCCAACCTGCAGCTTTTCTCAAGATCAAATCTTGCTGTGCCTCCTCCACAGAGCAGCTCAGCACATCCCAACCACAAACTGGGGGTGGTTCCCAGCCTAGGGCTGTGCTGGGCAAGTCCAGGGAAGTCTTAAATCCAAAATAAAACCCTACAAATGAACGTGATCCCACCGAGCCCCAGAGCAGCAGCACGGGAGGGTGTTGGAGAGGATGCTCTGACCTGTTTTATTTAGTCCTAGTGATGGAGGAGAGGAGCCAGAATGCAAAATAAACAAAACAAACCAAAATAAAATAAAAAGGAGGACGTTTCTTTTCTCAGTGTTCTCGGAATAAACACAAAGATATAGAAGAACAAATGGATGCAAACATATGGTGAAACAAAAGGAAACTGAGGCAATCCACACCCTCGTGGTGGGCAGCCCATGAAGTGTGTAACAGCTTAAGTGTTTCCAAGTGCTTTATGAAAAGCCAAGAGGGGTTTCAGAAGGATTTGTGAAAATTTAATCAATTACCATTGTCTGTATCCAGCAGAAATTCCTTCTGAAAAAGAGCAAAACGTGTTTCATGGAATCATGGAATGGTTTGGGTTGGAAGGGACCTTAAAGCTCACCCAGTGTCACCCCATCCACAGGCAGGGACACTTCCACTGTCCCAGGCTGCTCCAAGCCTTGTCCAAGCTGGCCTTGGACACTTCCAGGGATCCAGGGGCAGCCACAGCTTCTCTGGGAAGTTTGGAAAGGGGATGAGTGATGGGTGGAGTCACAAATGCTTCAGAGAGAATTCAGTAGGGAACTGGAAATAGCAGGGAAGCAGAAATGGGACATGCAGGGCTGGGCAAGTGAAGATGTGTGATTTTCCTGGAAAACACTGATGAGGAAGCCAGGATGAAAGGAGATTATGTGAATTTGGGGTAGAAAAGAATCTGCAGTGCTCCTTTCATCAGACACAGTCAGGGCAAGATTTTGGCCAGGAGGAGAAAAAAAAAAAAATAAAATGAATGTTGGTAGCCTGAGAAGGGATGGATTTAACTGAGCAGATGGACAGGAAAGGCCACACTGGAGGGATTTTGCATAGGGAGGCAGCAAGAGGAACGTGAGCTCAGCTCAGGAGGCCCTGAGGGAAAGGCTGAAGTGTGAAGGACACCTCTGAAACAGCAGCAAGGCACTTGTGCTCTCCATCACCACCCAAAAAACTGCTGGTGAGAGGATTCTTCTTTTTTTAATGTTACCTCACCCAAAAAAGCCTCTTCCAGCAGTGAATCCACAGGATGGGTTTGTAGCACAGAAAATAGTTGTAAAACACAACCCAGGGGGGAAAAAAGACAAAAGGGCATATATGGTAATGCAGGTCCTCATTGCTGCACCATTATTTTTAGTTTTTCCATTAATTTACTCTTTATATTAAGCTATTTTTAAAGCTTCTCTTCACACATGCAGGAGGTGATGACTCGAAACGCGTGAGGCACAAAACCAAACGGTTCC